TTAAAACAAGATGGTAAAATGCTTTTTCCTTTATGGATAATTAATTATTGGCAAGATATACACCAGCTAAAACTTTTTTTGAGTTAAAATAATAAAAAAAATTTCATGTCAATAAATTAAATATGAGCACTTTTTTCACAAAAACTGTAACAGTACTTTCTCAGAAATTACAATCAAAAATGCAATTTCCATTTGGAAAATTAAAAAGCGCTAAAAAATACACGACCTAAGATTTACCAATCACGAAAATAACAAAAAAAAATTTTATTAAATATTTAACATATTGATACTGCTTTACTGATTGTGACAGCCCTTTGGTAGATTATGTATTTCAGGTGGTTAGCAACAGCGCCAATCTCCTCCTTTCGGCAAAACTGCACTGAGAAAAAAAGACTGTTGATTCAATAGTGCCGATGCTATTGAATTTAATTTTTTCGAATCATTAGTTCCTGCAATGAATCAAACTAATATACATTCCAATTTAATAATTCATGATTTTGAAATAAAAGCTCGATGGTTTCGAAAAAAACATTTTAAGTAGTTGCGATGTATACAGATTTTATTTTATCAAAGAAATATTTATTGATTTTAAATAAGTGTTAATTGATTTAAAAACAGAAGTCATTTTATTAAAGAACAGTGTTTTTTGTTTTGTACATATATATTTTTTTAACAATGTTATATGCTTTTGAATCAATAGCATTTTCTGTTGTCATAATAAACGGCATATTCGAATACGTCCAAAAGCACGATGCTATAAAATTAACGTCATGCGCACTAGAGTGGTAAGAACCACTTCCATTAAATTATATTCAACAAGAAATTGATATAATGAAATACATTTTTTTAATGAGAAATCATATTTCTTTGATTTGTTATAATATAAATTCGATTGTTTAAAATCAATTATATATTATTTCGCCTGTAACTGCGATGTGGTTGCGGGGGAACGTAGTAGTGTGTCAAGTATCCTTCGCAGGCGTGAAAATGTGCGTGAATTTTGGCGCGTATGTCCATGTCCTGCGCATTAACACTTAAACACAAGTGAACGCTATTCAGATGCTGAGACGATTTTCCTGTGAGTGAATATCTTCGTAATTGTGATAGTTTGTGTTAATGTTTATTATATAAATAATAAAATGGCAGATAGTGGTGATCCCCCTGAAATTGACGAGTTGCTAAGGTCTTGGGGATTTGATTATTTGATACCGGATTTTCAAAGTACGTATGTAATTTAACATAACCTATAATTTTTCCACGTGTTGATCATTAGATATCTATATCTCAATTCCTTATTTATTAGGTCGCAATAAATAAAAGTGGATTGTAACTAAGAGTAAAAGAACATGAAATTTTCTTTTGTTTTTGTACTTTTATGATTTTTCGTTTCAACTTATTTATACGACTATTTGAAAAAAAGATACATAATCAATGTTCCATATATACCACGACGGCCGAAATATATTTAAAAACATTCTTTTTTTAAGAACACAAGGTCGATGTAAATATTTTGCCCGAATTAACCAAAGAATTAGTCGAGAAGATTATAGAGCCAGCGATTTGGCAATTCAAATTTATTCAACATTGGGAACGACATTTCCAGAAAAAATTACCAAAAGAAGCCACTTACCAAGCAAATGCAAACGTAAAAAAATTTCTTTTAATACATAATTTTAGTATTTACGTTTTAGAAAATAAGAAGACTAAGTGATTTTCTATAAAATTCTAATGTTTCACTTTAGAGTCATGGCTATAATGACAATTCGAATGAAAGTGTTGATTCTTCTGATTCTGATGTGGAAAATAGTCAAAATAACTCAATGGAAAATGATAAGTATATTGGAGGAGGTATGTTAAGACAACTTCGAAAATTGCCAAAGATTGAAGAAGTCTTGAATGAAGCTGCCGATGGTCGACAAGTTCTAAATAGTTACAAGAAAAAAAAGTGCTTAAGTCGTCTGGGCAGACGTTCTGTTGTAGATATTTTGACCTCCTACTTATTGAATCACGTGGAAGGGTTAGTTTGTTTCATTTTTTTACCACTTTATTATTAATGAACTCCGATATTTACGTTTTTCATAATAATAGCATTTCTTTAAAAAATTGTTAGTATAAAATTTTTTCTTTTCAAAGAATTCAAATCAGTATGTTATAAAGATAAAAAATTTAATTGGTCTGCAATGAATAAAAATTAATTTACACCACTGCCCGCGAGTTTGGGGACGCCTCTTTTTTTTATGAGTAAAAAAAACAAAAACTTAAAAAATAGAAAGAACAAAAGTTTTACGTATTTTTTTCTGAAAGATAATACAATTATAAAAGAAACAACACCCGATGGAAAAACTTCCTTTCTGTTTTTTTGTGAGATTCAGAAATAATGTGGATTTTGCATGCTTTACTCAATTTTTTAATTTCTCGAAAACTAATTAACGTTTCTTTTTAACATTTTTGGACATTTTAATAGATATTTAATGTAGAATTTTAATTATTTACTGGTGTTTTGATATATATTTTTTCTAAAAAAATTTGCAATCATGAAAGTTGAAACAAAAAATTTTGAAAACTAGATTGACATGTTTCCAAGAAAAAAATAATTTTTAAAAATCAAATAAATAATCAAGAAGCTTTCTCGAATTTTATTGTATCTATTAAATGTACATAATTTGCACTGCCATTTTTTAAACTTTAATGTTGATGATAATTTTTGAATTTTTTGAATCCTCCTTTCACGGTTGCAAATTTTTTTGAAGAAATATATATCAAAATACCAGTAAATAATTAACATTCTACTTTAAACAGTGATTAAAATAAGTCGTAGAATTTTACAAAACGTTTATTAGTTTCTGAAAAATTAAAAAAATAAGAAAAGAATGAAAATTCAATTTTTCTGTATCTCACAGAAGCATTAACGAAAGTTTTTCGATTAGGTATCATACTTTTCATAATTTTATCAGCTTTCAAAATAAAAATTGTTGCTTTTATTGTGTACATTTCTAATTTTTTTCTAATAATGAAAAAAGGGGCGACCTCATACTCGTGAACGGTACTGTATATTGTTTTAAGTTTGACAGAAATTAATATTATTAACAAAATAAAAAAAATTAAAAATACATACATGTACAAATTTCGCATTTACATCGATATTATTATATGGTTTGATTATATTCCTTTTTAATTTTATAGAAACGCAAATCACAAGGATTTTCACTATTTTGCTGAAGAGATAGTAAGAGTTTTTACAACAGAGGATATTAACTACTATTATGTAGCTCCTGTTCCGAAATCAAAATCGTCTACTGGAAAATCGATATCGGCAAGAGGAAGATTGGCATTAAAATATTGGAGTAGACTATCGAAATTTAAACAGCTGGATAAAAGTGCTGACATTGAAAGTGATTCGCAAATTAATGTTGCTATTGACGGTAAAGTTCTTTATTTAGTCTAAAAATTTTTGTATATATTTATAAATAGAAAATTCTAATTTCAAATGTTTGAAAACATATTATCCCAAATATAAAATTGTAAAATTATATATTGTAATTAATTTCCATAATGTGCAAAGGTAATTTTTTTACAGAATCTGTCCAAGTAAGTATTGATTGGCTGAGAAACAACAGGACACCGTGGGATCTTGTAGAGCGTCACTGGGCACTCACTTCCTATATTCGAGAAAACGAATTTTTGAATGGAAAAAACAAAAATTTGGTTGAAATTTTCCAAAAGTGGCCAATTTTACTTCATCCTGATGCGTACAAATTGATTCTAACGGACTTTTCAAAGTTTAAATTTACTGATGACGAAATAAATTTTAACGGTGCCGATGAATGGTTCGAATTTTTTGAAAAAGTGAAAACAGTTTGTCCTCTTGACGCAAAAAAACGAAAAGACGCTCGTGTTCAACATTTATTAAACTTGCTCGATACAGCTGATAGAGAAGGTTACCATTATTTTTTTATGTGAATTTAATAAAAAACATGAACATATTTTTAAATTGAAATATTTTTCTTTTCCTAATTTATAGATGACAGAGCGATCATCCAATTGCGTCTTTTACCATTCCTAGTTGCTCCTAAAGGAAGACTACGCGGATCATCAAAGAAAAATGATTGGAAATTTAGTATGCTGGAATCAGAAGAAAGCATTGTCCAACATGCCACGGTGAATGGGTATTATTAAACATTTAAAAATTTTAAAAAAAGTGTTTAAATATTCAATACTTTAATTCTAAATATTACTTTTTGTACGTGGGTTTCTTTATTCTTATTTATATTTTTTAGACTATTGACGATATTACTCGGATTTGCGAAAATTATAAGGAGATTATGAACGGGAAAGCGTTAAAAGTTCAACCTCACATTTTTGTCGTTGGTCCAGAATTAAACAAAGTGGAAAGCGTGTATGTCATTGTTGATGACATAAAATATGAAGTGAAGTCTGTGTTGAAAGCTATTGAGGTGTGCTTCAAATCTTTCTACCTTTTTCAAGTGCAATTCCCACCCGCAAGTCAACACATTTGGTTCCTGATCCAAAGAGGTTTATATAAATTTAAAACTTCCTCCGATAAAGCGATTTCTTGTGTTTTGGAAGTTATTACCGACATGAGAAATATTGATAAGGCATAAACTGCTGTTTCTTTTTTACTCATTTAAAAGCTTTTAAAGTTGAAAATACTACAAATAGGGCAATTATTTCGTGGAAATGTTGTCGTTTAAAATTGCGTGAATATGCATCAACTGTTAATTAAAAAGTATTATATTAGTCCTATCTAATGGGAAAGACAGTTTGATGACAATTTATATAAAGTATTTAAACAAATTAATTTTCAAACAGATGTTTTATCGTTCTAAATGTCTAAATAATTACATTACCAAAGTGATTGAAAGTAGCGTTAAATATGTTCATAAAGTTTATTTAATGTTTATTTAATTTTAAAAACACTGTTTGAGTTACGCGATTTGTATTTGATTTTTGGGCTAAATTCTAATTTAAATTTTTTCACCATGTACCACTGTCCGTGCTGCTTCGAATCTTGTGCTACAGAAGTAATTTTCATTAATCATTGGAAATGTAAACATACTACAAATGATTCCATATTTCGCTGCAAACAAGGAAAATGTTCTCGCGTTTTTTCCGATGTAAACGTCTTTAAAAAACATTTAATTCGCGCTCACAGCACTGATAGGGAAGAAGAAAATCAACCATTAGAATCTTCATCAGCTGAGAGTATGGATATTGAAAACAATCTAGCTCCAGCTTTATCGAACTCTAATTTGATTATAAATTCTTCTCCTTCAGTTGATTTTGCGAATAATGGGACGTCGGTAGAAGAATCTGCGAGAATTACTCCACGAGAATTCGCTGGAATGTTGTCGAAAAGCGTAGCTTTATTTGTTGCGAAATTATATGCAAATTTCTGTGTGCCCCGATCTTTGGTCCAAGAAATTATAAACGATGTTAGAATTATTACTGATCACGTCGGAATTCTAAAGACTATGCATATTCCGAATGAAACATTAGAATCTGAGAATTTAAATCAAATGTTTGACATTTTTCAGAACGGATTTATAGATCACGAATCAGAACACAAATCTCTGAATTATTTTCAGAATCTCGAGACGCTAATTTTGCCAGAACAATTTGTTATTAACGGTAGAATGGAAAAGAAAAATCAAAAAGGCGAACCACAACTTTCCTATGTCGAGCAAACAATTTCCTATATACCTATGAAAAGCGTTTTGAAAAATTTCTTGGAACTTCCTGGAGTTTTTAATGCAATTTTATCTAACATTGAAAAAGCTGAAAAAAGCGAGAAAATTGTTTCTGTCGTACAAGGAACGTTGTGGAAGTCGTTAAAACAAAAAATATCGGGAACACTGCTACCCCTCATTGTCTACTTTGATGATTTTGAGATAAACAATCCCCTTGGAACCCATCGATGTTTTCATAAAATGGGGGCTGTTTATTACACATTAGACTGTATTCCAGACGAATATGCAAGTTTGTTGGAGAATGTATTTCTTGCACAGTTTCATAACACGCAAGATTATGATGAATGTGATAATGAACAGATTTTTTGGAAATTCATCCTGATGTTAATTGAGTTAGAAACGACGGGAATTATCATTACTGTTGATGGTGTTCAAATAAACGTCAAATTTGCAATGTTTACTATGTCAGGGGATAATTTAGGACTGAACGGTGCATTAGGTTATACTAAAGGTTTCAATTCTGACTTTAATTGTAGAGGATGTATTGCTAATAAAGAGCAGCGCCAAAATCTAGTCATTGAGGATAGTAAACTTATGCGAACGGAAGAAAATTACAACTCTGATGTGGAAACTAAGTCCAGGGGTATACGGGAGAGATGCACATTCAACAAACTCATCAGTTTTAAAGCGTACGAAAATTTCTCTGTTGATCCCGATCATGATCTGTCATTGGGAATGCTTCGTAGCGAAACAGCGGATATCATAAATCATCTTCTCAAAGAAAATGGAACTAAATTGACTTTAGAAATTATAAATGACAAAATCCGATTTTTTAATTATAGTTTAAAACACGGTCTCAATGTGCCCCCTCCTATTAAAAAAGAATGGCTGGAAAATGGACAAATTATGTACACTGCAACCGAAATGCTAACATTTATTGAATATCTTCCTTTAGTAATTGGTCTTCTTGTTCCAGAGAAAAATAAATATTGGCATCTTCTGTTGCTACTTCGTCAAATCGTCTCGATTGTTTATGAGCCCGAATTTATTGAAGAAGATGTAAAAAAATTGGAGCGTCTCCATTGCACAACATCACCGTCTATGTAAAAAACTGAAAATTAAGCTCTCACCGAAAAGTCACTTTTTAATACATTATCCTAATATAATGCGAAAAATTGGACCATTGAAATCTGTTATTACGAGAAAATTTGAAGCCAAACATCAAGAAAATAAAATCTATGCTAAAGTTAACAGGTCGCGTGTTAATCCTGCGTATTCGTTGGCGTTAAAGCAGCAATTGGCTTTAAATCTTCGATTTCTTCAATGCACAGGATTTGAAAAACGGTTAGAACTTGGTGTAGTTTTGTGCGAAGGCTTGAATAAAATTCAAGATTACGGATCTTTTAAACATGTTATTCCACACGCGAACACAGAAAAATGGTTATCAACCAGTTGGATTGAGTATTGTGGTACTAGATATAAAAGTGATATGATTGTCACAATTGGCGGAACGAAAGCTCAACCTCGATTTGGAAAAATTGCGTTGAAGCATTATTAATTCTCACACCGGGGATATATACTATTATACGTGTTTGTGTTTACCTTCTTATCTATCTTAGCCCTGATTTGATTTGGTTCTGAGAAATTAATAAGTTCAAAAATGTGGTTGAATGACCATAAACATAAATGTTTATATAGCAATCACCCACGTTACGTAACTTTATACAAAAGAAAGAATGGCTATTGTCTAAATTTAAAGGGACATTGTATTATCAAATTTAATTATTTGATACAATAGACACGTGCCAGCTAAGTCAACAAATATGATTGTAATAATATAATAGAATTATTTAAATTAGATCAACTTTTAAATTTATTGTTTCTATAGATATATTTGAAAGAAAATATTTATTTTGTTTTTAGAAAACTTGTTGCTTGTTTACCAAATTAGAGGAATCTTTCCAGTAATTATTCGGTAGATCAGCTGTTTATTTTCTTATTCACTTCTACTTTTATATATGAATATATGTCATATATCGTTTCAAAGTCGAATATTTTTACCTTACAAAAAAAATAAATATTAATTATTAATAGAAAAATAAAATATACAATCAACCATTTAATATAATTATTTATCAATTATTTTGGTTTAAATAATTTATTGTGAGTTCGTTCTGAATGAAATTAAATGAAATAATTTTATTGTTTAGCTTAACTTTTCACCTTTTTATTTAATTTCTCTCCAACTATTTTGTTATTTTTCAATTGAGATTCTAAATTACCTCGTAGGCTTATCTATAAAAAAAATATAAAATAAAATTTAAATAAAATAAAAGAAACTTGACAATTCCTAACAGCTATCAAGGTCAAATTCCCTATTCCCTAGATTAAATAATCTATTATAAGTAAATTAATTTTGCAGATATTTTCCTTAAACGCAAATTTATTCAACATGTTATTAATTTAACAACATATTAAAATGATCTAAGTCAAACGGAAAATAAATGAAAAACTCATTTACTTCTCTGAAAAATTGCTAAATAAATAATTTAAATAAATTATTTATTTCCTAAATTAACTATTGATTGGAGGACAGGGATTCATAATCAATTGAATCTTACACATTAACAAATTGATCGCCTATTGCAATGAATTTGAGATATATGTATTTTCAAGAGATTTACGATTTGCTTTTGATACCACTTAAGGATCCAGATAATGAGGTGGTACTCCGAGTTATCAGAAACCCCTCAAGTCTTTCTCCATGGCGTGACTTTGTAGATTATATGTTTTAAATTAAAGTGATTATTCACTTTTTCGTTTCTTCTACTTTCCTAATATTGACTTTAAATTTATTATTTGTTAAAATATTTTATTTCTTATATAATTCTGAGTTGGAACGGTTGTTAAACCAGCCTCTCAGATATTATGTAAGATTAAAGAAAAATATGAATAATAAAAAAAATATAAATAATAAAAATTTAATATTTTAAATAATAAAAGAATTTTAAATGTTTGTTCTTTTGTTCTTTTTGAACTTACTGTTTTATAGATAAATCCAATCACAATTAAACTTCACAAACTATCTGTCAAAAAGTTATAATAAACTAAAATTGCACGTAGAGTGTCTGATTGAAATTCAGAGAATGAATGACCAAATTTGGGTCTCCTTCTCTATTTATTAACTCGAGAAGACGCTTCATCCCCCAAATTTCTCTATATCCCTTGTATATTTAAATTTAGTAAGTGTGTTAGAGAGACTCTGATAGCTGATTGCTTGACAATCCGCGGTTTTCCCTTCCTACCTTTCTTCGTATACTTTTGCTGTATATTTCTTACCGCCAAATTTTCCCTCTAATCGCATTTTTCGCGGCGTCCTATTTTCTTAGCCAATAGTATTTAAATTGTTTTGGTAAGGACAGAGCGATTTCTCTCTTTCTAATTCCGTTGTAACGTATACAGGGAACAATGCCATTGTTCAGCTGTCAATCATTTCTCAATTATTACTATAACTAGCAACTTTGTCGTCCGCAAGCGGCCGACTACGTTGCTAGTGTGCATTAACCATATTTTTTATTCATTTTTTTTCAAAAAAATTTAATATTAGAAATGTAAAAAAAAATTTCTCTATATTGGATCTACCACCCAAGTAGCACGGAATATTGCTTGAATGTCAGGCTGATATCAACAGGGAATATTTTTGTGACATTCAGGCGATATCATAATGTCCTTTTCACGGGGACATTCCTCCGTGATGTATCTATGTTACGGTCTTTCACACAAAAAATGTAACGCGTTACAAAACTTACATTCTAAATTTATTAAACCTAAATAATTCTGTGGTACTTTACTTTCATCTAAATCTTCAAAAGACATTATTGCAACTCCTGCACTTTTTTTATTCCGATTATCGTTTTTACATGACAAATTATTTTCTTGACGCACTTTCTTTTCATCTTGAGTCTCCATTGATATTTTTCTTTTCCTACATGCCAAATTTTTATCCTTGCGTATTTTCTTTCCATCTTCAGTTTTTATAGATAATTTCTTTTTTTTGCATGTCAAATTTTTTTTGCGCTCTTTCTTTTTTATTTCTGTTTTATTACGATTACGTTTTCTCAATCTCTCATTCTCCTGTCTTATTATTTACTGCTCATATGTAACTTCGCGCCTTGCCTTCCTTTTTCTTCCCTTCTCTTTAATTGCTCGATTTATCTTTTTATCATTTTCTTTACTCAGAAAATTTTTCATTGTTAAATATTCATGTGGTGAAATTTTGTTCACAGTATTATAAGTTGTACGAATTATTTTCTCTTCACTAGTGTCATTTAGAGAATGTTTAATTTTTAACTCTTGTGTTAATAGAACTCTGTTAATATTATTACTGGGAAAAGTATTAAAAACAGAACAATAGTTTAAAATATAATTTTTATGTTCCTGAGTTCAATTTATGAAAAGACGGTTCTAATCATTCTCTATTATCGAATTCCTATTGTGAGACGTTCTTACTGTCGGAAAATTATTTAAGCAATTATTTTCAAACATTGACTTAAAATGGTTTCTCATTTTGTTATTATCAGTTTCATAATTTACACGGTTTGGCATTACGTTAAATAATATAGATGTTGCAAATGCTATTGCATGTACTCCACACTCAACACTACCAAAAGGTTGTTGATCAACAGCTTCAAAAACTACTGTTGGTTTAAAAGGTAACAATCTAATTAAGTATTTTATTTGCTGCACATTTAAACACCCCTTATTAAGACTATCAAAAATATAAAGCCTTACTCTATAGTAATAGACATAAATTCAGTGACCATAATTGTTATTACGGCTAAAAAGTATTTAAATATGTTTATCACCGTCTCTAATTGCGACAATAAAATCAAGCATTTGTACATACAAAGCACTTTGCATATTAAAAAAAGAATTGGAATCTTTTCTTAATAAATCTTCAAATTTGTACATATGCATGTAATTTAACAATTTATTTCTATTTTCAATAATTTTTAAATCTTTATCACTTAAAATAATATACTCTTTTATGTTGGCCATATTATACTTCGTTTAATTTTATTTTTGATTCATGAAAATCTAAATAACTTTAACCGTTTTGCTCACTTTCTCTAATATAACCAATTTTGCCTTTTATTCAATATAACCAATTTTTTCTTTAATTCAATATAACTAATCACGGTACCCTGGAACCAATCTCAACCCTCAACATTCTCCCTTTCAAAAATTCCTGTTGCAACTTGTTCGGGGTACCTCACTGAATATTTTTCAACAAGAAAAATCAAAATCCGTCGGGCGCTTTTTTTTAATTTCAATTTTTGTGATTTTAGCGCTAAATTAAAAAAAACTGGTTTTTATAATTATGTAAAGTAAAATTCAACTTCACATGGTCAAATTTTGTTCAAGAAATTATACAAAATCATAATTCCGGTAAAAATTTTTCTGTAGAATCGAAATCTGACATTGGCTTTCGAATTTAAAGCAGAGGAATCCCAAAAAATCCGGAAAACTGTAAATATTCTAAAAGCAATCTCACTGTCGTTTTTTTCAAGTTTTCTGTGTCGAAATTTTTTTTCTGTATTAAACACAGAATTCCTTACGCCATCTACAAACAACAGTGGTAAATTCCACAAAACTGCTGCGTTGGTTTTCGAAATATACAAATTGTTCTTTGTGAAAAAGCCAAGATTAATTGGCGCAGGCGCAAATTTCTTGGGAAAAAAACAGACTAGAAACGAATTAAAAATTGTTTATATTATTTACATATTTAATAACAGAAAGCAAATTTGAATCAGAAAATTTAAAATCAGTAGAAACGTCGTAAACATACCCTAGATTTTGTTAACTTTTAAATTCAAAATTTTAATCACCGCCAAAAAAATGTTCATTCTATAATATTTTGTTTTGTAAATTTGAAAATGTAACTGTTACTTATTGGGAAATTTCGATAAATTTTGAAATTGCTCTTATTTTTATAAAATTTAACAGACAATTTGGAAAAAACGACGCTACGGTGAGATTGTTTTTAGAATATTTACAGTTTTCCGGATTTTCTGAGATTCCTCTGATTTTAATTCGAAAGCCAATGT